CCCCCGGCACCCAGCGCCCCCCGTCCTGCCCCTCATAGCGCTCCGCCATCCTTCTCGCACCCAGCGCCCTCCATCCTGGCCCCTCACCCAGCGTCCCCCTCTTCCGTCACAGCGCCCCGCCGTCCCCCTCGCACCGGCGCCCATTTCTTCTCCCCTCACAGCGTTCCCTCCATCGCCTTCAGCACCCGCCACGTCCATTACATCTCACACCCCTCGGCGAAAGTCAGGAAATAAATTGCATTGGGCTGTTCCGTAAATGTCATGATCTAGAAAAATAATTAAGGCCCAGAGGTCCCATATTTCTTAGAACGATTGTTAAATCTTTAAAAATATACTGGCTTTCAGATAGGCGGGTTGAATCTTGAGGTCGAAAGGAGGTCTTATATGGTCAGAAGTTTGATCAAAGTTTCAGTCTTTATTACTGTAATAAAAAAATTCTGCCCCTTTCACGGATGTCACATTAAAATATGTCATATTAAAATATTGTACGCTGGAGCTGTTTCTCTAGAGAAAACTGCCACTCCCACCCACACACAGCATGGATGTGGGTGAGAGAAGCCCTTCAGCACTACCCCAGACACGTGAGTGCTCTCACTGTTTGTCTTAAATGAGTCAACACCTCGTATATCTAACCCACTGTATTTGATTTTTAGAAACAAATGTGGATTATTTCAGAAAAGCAGCGTGGGTAAGACTGAACAAGTTTCACCACTGTTTAACAGACCCTCAGTTCTTACAAAGACTTTTATTCTCAGATGACATTTAGCAAACTATCCCCTTCTTCCTGGCAAAGCATCTCCATTTAATCACATCCTGCTCCATTCTCCATAGTCCTTTGGTGGCAAAACAAATTTTAGATAAATACACAGACCTTAATCATAATTAATCAAACTATTACCAGGTGTTGCCATTTTATTCTCTGCTCTAACATTTGTTTGGTAAGGACTTTAAATGAATGATGCTAAATTAAAACTAAATTAATTTCCTACAAATGGAAGGTGAGAGGCTCCGGCAGTTACTGCTGTGTAATGATCTGCTCCAGCTGTCCAAGTTGCCAACAATACTTGTCAGTGCCATGATCCATGAACTTCCAGCACATACATATGTATCTTTGTCTTCTCCAGGCAGAACCATCATGTATAGCATCAGCTGTGATCTAGCTGTGGCAATGCTGGTGCCCTTTTTCAAAAGAAGTTATGTGTTTTTCTGCTGTAGACATGGCTGCACCACACCCCTAATACGGAACATCCACATCCACTTGGGAACTAAAGAAGCTCTTGTAAAATCTTAATGTGTTCAGTTATTTTCATATTTCAATCATATTTGTTATTGCTTGAAGTTCATAGTGTTCCTACCAAATAAAGCAATAATCCTTGGTAGTTTAATAAATAAAATGATTGGTTATATCTTGCCTTGTGATCCATTCATCTGCAAAGTGTAATTTCTATCTAGTAAAGTTGTCAGAAGGGAGAACTATTTATAGAGAGGAAGAGCAAAGTACAGTAATGTAAAAATTAGATATTAATAATAGGGTGCAGGAAACTGGGACTTTTTTATCCCAGGATAAAATTCAGGAAATGGAATTCTTGCCCTTGTGTTTGTTATATGAGATGGCTCTCTACCTGTGCTCAAGGTTCTATCATTTTTATATATTCTGTGCATTGCTGATTTATTTTTGCCTTGTTTTTTCCCCAGCAGGTGGCCACACTTGCTAATTGAAAGCATCCACTCAGCCTCCATGGAGTGGGTTTTGTCAAAGGCACAAAAATAGGATTTGGACATGTAAAAAGTGCCTATTGCAGAAACAAGTAGAGCAGAAGTCCAGAGCCTTCTTTTTTTTTTTTTTTTTTTTTTTTGCCTCTCTGTGCTTCTTTTCTTTTTTGCAGAAACGTGGGTTCCCTATAAATCAATTTGAAACCTACTGACAATATATATTCTTTCCTATAATTTTTCTCATTCTGGAATCAGTGTCATATCCATTCTTTCTTATACTGAAAGTTATTTTGGCCACAAAAGAATATTTGTGGAGTGGGAAGGACCTGTAATTTACAGATAAGATGATGAATTAACAAAAAACAATTGAACTCAATTTTCAGGAAAAAAAGATCAAAACTTTATTTACTTCAGCATTAATTTGTCATCTATGTCAAAACTAGGATCTCTAGAGAAAGCTGTTTGGAAAAAGTTGAACAAAATTTTCCATTCTACAGCAGCACTTTTTTTTCTCAACAGTACTTGACATTTCACTAGTTTCTGACATCCAATCCCCACAACCTAATGCCTTTTTCTGTCTTGTTTAGGCTAAAACAGAGGAATGGAAACTAAAGCCCTGCATTTTACTTTGCTTAAGGGGTGCAAACACCCCATGTTCTGCAACACAGCTCTTGCTCTGACTATGGTGCTGGCATAGATCGGAGTCACAGCACTAAGTTTGTAGATTCCTTTAGGTCCCTGAAGGCCAGAGAACTCCATGTAAAACACTGCAAATGTTGCGAAATATCTGGATTACATCAGCCATGTCGATGCACTTTGCTGTTACTTTGCCTGGTTGCTTTCATGTTTTTTTATTCGAGTAATTTATGGATAGCACGTGACTGTTTTTATATGCTACACCCCTTCTGTATGTAATTATATGACCAAGCCAATGTAGGTACAGAGAAAATGTACACAAGTAGAGAAGACAGAAAAAAAGAATGTTAAAGAAAACAAAAATTGGGAAGTTCAAACACAATAAAAAGATTCTGTACGTCCTCTAAAGTCAACGTCCACTTATTATTACATGTCTAGCATTAGATTTAAACACATAATATTAAAACTCTGCAGAGAAATGCTAAAATAGATGGAAAGCCACCTGGTGAAACCATGACCCACTAACATAAATTTGTTAATATCACCCATCACAGTTTCATTTTTGATATATATGAACCACGATGAAATAAAACATGAAATCATGACCACCAGTAGGGGCTATCTGTGTGATTTCAGAGCTTTCCTTCAACATCTTTTTGTGCAGACTACAACAGAAGAAACTTGTCTTTACCACTAGAATTCACATAGACCTGTCAAGACTGAAATACAGTAACTGGAACTTGGTCATTTGATTATTGTCACATTCTTTTGTGCCTCTATTTCACACATTCACAGTGAACCTTTGGTGTTTGCTGTCGCACTCTGTCAGCATCAACCAGATGTGAGCAATTTGGGTATTTCACAAAGCAAGGGAGATGTGCTACAGCTCTGCATTGCAGTCAGAGTTAAGTTAGACAGCGGGAACCTCCTGGATGTAAAACAGGCTTCCTAACAGCAACTGTATCATGTGAATAGAACTCCTGAATCAAAAATTCCACTTAGCCTTAATCTGAAAGATGGTTTAAATTTTATAAAGTATTTTTTTTATATTAGAAACATAGTGATCTTTACATATGGAATAGTATAGTCCTTTGTTTTATAAGATTAAGTAAAACACAAAATGTCATGTATGACATGTTTAATCTCTAAACTGAATTTAGTTCAAGTAATTCTAAAGATTCAGTGTAATATTTTTACACCAAATCTGTACATGTGTGTTCTGTGTCTGGCTGAGATGGAGTTAATTTTCTTCATAGCAGCCTGAATGGTGCTGTGTTGTGGATTTGTGACTAAACTGCTGTTGATAACACAGCAATACCTCAGCTACTGCTGAACAGTGCTCGCACAGGGTGAGGACTTTCTCTTTTTCCCCAATTTGTCATCAGCCCCACCCAGGCAGAAATGCTGCTGATGGTCCAGAAATGTGGGAGTGGAATACAGCCAGGACAGCCAACCCAAACAGATCGAAGGGATATTCCATCTCACACAGCATTACGCTCAGCAATAAAAAATGGAGGTAGACAATGGAGATGTCTTACAAGTTGGCTGCTGGAGACTGTCTGGACATTGGTCTATTTATGGGAGGTAGCCAGCAATTTCTTTGTATTGCCTTTTCACTTGCACTTTCCTTCATCTATTACACTGTCTTTGTCTTAACCCACGAGATTTCCTGCTTTTGTTTGTCATGTTATGTTCTCTTACTGCAGGGAGGTGAGTGAGTGGGTGAGTGAGTGAGTGAGTGAGCAGCTGCCAGCTTGACTGGATGCTATCTGGTGCTCCAATGCATGCCTATCAGGTGTGTAGTAAAACACATTTAGTTATCAGGAATCTCCTGTTTGCTCAGCAAATCCTGAAATCCAGTTGAACATATTGAGACCAGTCAGAGGGTTATGACAAATAAGCAGTGTATTAGTGCAGAATTACATGATTTAAAGGACAATTCTTACAAACATTTAGCAAACTCACAGCTCAAAAAATTTTGTATACTCTCAAACATGTTTCTCTGGAGCTAGTCTGGCACTCTATATCACTGGTGAATGCAAAGACTATTTTACTTCCTTTGAAGCTACATATTGGCCTTTCACAAAGCACTTATGTAAGTGATCAACTCAATAAAGCAGAAAGGGGAAATTGTTACTCTGAGAGTAAACTGGTACCAACAGAATAGTATATGAAAAAGAAGTGATGAAGAGTAAAAGAACATTGTTTTCACTCCATTCACTTCAGTATGTTAAAGTATTGAAATGTCATACTAGGGAAGGGGAAAGTAGCATAATACTGACCACAGGCTTTACATAACTTGATTTCTGCTTTATTTAAATATATATGGTTGAACTAAAACATGTATTTTAAGAATACAACAACATTGCTTTATTTCCTGTGATGGAGTATCTAACCAACCTTCATTAAATTATACCAATTACTAAATACTGTTATTGATAAACTTACTAAATGTCTTACCAGTTTGTTTATTATTTCTTTCGAATTCCAACTTTTACACCTTGTTAAAGGTGCTATACCAAAGAAATACTTATCACGATGGCTCCGTTTCTGCTACAACCCGCTTGCAGCCTGTGGCCAGCTGGCCTATATCCTGCTCCCTCACAAGGTCATGCTTCGTGCTATGAAGCAATCAAGACTTGTTCTGCATTAGTAACCCGTTTTCTTCAGTTTTTAGCACTGACAAAAATGAGCCAACCTGTAAGGCTTTATCAGTGCCTGTTCAGTGTTTTAAAAAGGCAAATTCCCGATGGCAATTCAGGTTTTCTTATGCAATTCCTCCTTTCAACTCATTTATAGCTTCGGAAAGTGGTTATTTCAAAGGATTAAAGCAGAACTTGTCTGTGTGTGTGATACCCAGCTCCCATCCCTGGCACCTCAGTGGCCTCCTCAGGCTTCAATGCAGTCCCTAGAGGACTGGCAGAAAATCACGGAATAGTTTGGGGTGGGAGGGACCTTAAAGATCATCCAGTCCCAACCACCCTGCCTTGATCAGGGGCGCCCCTACTACAGACGGTTGCTGAGAGCCCCACCCAGCCTGGCCGTGAACACTGCCAGGGATGGAGCATCCTGAAGTTCTCCCTGCAACCCATTCCAGTGTCTCACCACCCCCACCCTAAATGGAAGATGGAAGACGCGCGGATCGCTCCCGGCACTCTTCCCCCGGGCGCTGGGGAGAAGCGGGAACCAGGGAACACCCGACTGCCAGAGCGCGGCTCGGCGGCCGCAGGAGCGGGAACAAAAGGAGGAGGGGGAAAAGGTGGGAAAGAAAGGAAGCCACGTGACTGGCGCGGGCGAACCGGAAGGGCACGGCGCGTGCGGGCGTGACGTGGCGGCGGCGGAAGTGCGTGCTGTGTGTGTGTGAGTGTGTTTTGGTCGGGGCAGAGGCGGCGGCGGAAGTCGGCGGCGGGGCTGGGTGAGGCACGGCTGCGCCCCCGCCCCTCGCCCCCACCGAGGAGCCGCCTCCCCTCTTACCCCTCCTCCGCCCACCCTGCCCCGGCGCGCCCGCCGGCCCCGACCGACGCGCGGACGGACGGACATCGCTGCGCCGCCGCCCCGGCTCCCCCACCCCGGCCAGGTGAGGAGGCGGTGGCGGCGTGGGGGGGCCCCGGCGGCAGCGAGACCGCCTTGTCCGGGCTCCTGCCGGCGGCCGCTCCCCCGGCGCTGCGGGAGCGTCGTGCCGCGGTACGGGTGGCCGAGGCGGGCAAGGGAGGGGAGGCTGCTCTCTCTCCCTTCCCGGCTCAAAATGGCGCCCCCGGTTTTCCCACTTCCCCTTATTCCTGTGCCTGGAAAGGAGCCGCGGGGGAGGGGAGGTGGCGGCGGGGGTTGGAGGGGCTGGGCCCGGGAGAGCGGGGATCCTCCCCTGCGTGCGGGCGCTCCTGCAGAGAGGTATCGCTGTTGGGGGCCGGCCGTGAGGGCTGTGCCCCTCGAGTTGCTTGTGAGATATGGAAGGGGAGGTTGGGTGATGGGTTCCTCGCTTTCCCTTTCGCTTGCGTCTGGAAGGACGGTGAGCTAGGTGGGGAGTAAAATGCTCCCGACAAGGCGTCGCCATCGGGGGGATCGCGACAGGCCTAGTATGCTGGATATCTTCTGCACTGCACTGAATCGGAGCGAGACACAAAGCTAGGGTAGGGTGGAGGAACACACCTAAGCTTTCTATGTTTTAGAGAAGTGCTGAATTGCATAAGAACCATCAAAATATTCCAAAAGTGGGCCATGAAACGCTGTTCTCTCGGCCTTTTTAATGATTTTTTTTCCTACCTTATACCTCTTTCAGAGCTTGGGGATGGAAATGAAAGGGTAAACAGCTGATTAAGCAGCTGAAATCAATCGGTTTCTTTCATGTAACGTTTCAAAGCAAAAATCGTGGGATTTTTTTGTTTTTTGCAGTTTTTATAGTTTTATAGTGCAGTTTTATTCAGAGTTACAGTCAGGCTTACCTGCAGATTGCATGTAGGTATTGTTCTTCCATAATGAGCAATGCGAGGAAAAGGTAAATGTTGGCTGAAGTGAGGTGGCTAGAGACAATGGTATTATAGTCATCAGTTACATTTCCTGTATGATAAACCAGTTTATCTGAAAGCAATTGGTAACATTCACCGTTCAGATGAGCTTATGAGATTGCTATTACCTTTAATTGTAGGGCTCTGATTTTTTTGCAGCAACTGTATTGATTCGCTTGTTTAACTTACAGTCTCATTATGTGTCAATGTTAACTGGCTTACATGTGACAAGCATTTTGCTAGTTGTTCCCGTCACTGTCTTGAACACTGCAGTAAGGTGTCACACTAATTCTGCTGAACCTGGGAGGAATAACAGAAAATTCGGTTAGTAGGAGTGGCTAATATATAAGGCTATATAAAAGTAGAAAATTACTGCTTTTTAAAACATTCAGAAGAGTCCGGTATAAAGAAATTTAGATAGATAGTAGCTCCAGCCTCAGCACTGTAGGCTTTATGTCTGTTAATGCAATGTCCAGAAGTTTATTAGTAAGAAAAAGTGTTGTTTGCTATGAAATATAAAAGTGGTGCAATGTTCCAATTTTAATTTTATCGTGAATTTTTTTGTGTGGCCTTTGTATTTGATAATACACTTAATCACATTAATTTTAGGAACAGTGCTCACTGTCTTAATCTCTTCAGCAGGCTGGCTTTTGTCACCAGTGTTACT